CTGTGCCCTGCATCCCGCTGTGCTCTGCATCCCTCTGCACTCTGCATCCCGCTGTACTCTGCATCCCACTGCGCTCTGCATCCCTCTGTGCCCTGCATCCCGCTGTGCTCTGCATCCCTCTGCACTCTGCATCCCGCTGTGCTCTGCATCCCGCTGTGCCCTGCATCCTGCAGTGCTCTGCATCACACTGCACTCTGCATCCCTCTGTGTCCTGCATCCCTCTGTGCCCTGCATCCCTCTGCACTCTGCATCCCGCTGTGCTCTGCATCCTGCTGTACTCTGCATCCCACTGCGCTCTGCATCTCACTGTGTCCTGCATCCCTCTGTGTCCTGCATCCCTCTCTGCCCTGCATCCCTCTGTGCCCTGCATCCCCCTGCACTCTGCATCCGTGACACCCTGCATCCCTCTGTGCCCTGCATCCCGCTGTGCTCTGCATCCCCCTTTGCTCTGCATCCCTCTGTGCCCTGCATCCCGCTGCACTCTGCATCCCGCTGCACTCTGCATCCCTCTGTGCTCTGCATCCCTCTGCGCTCTGCATCCCTCTGTGTCCTGCATCCCACTGCACTCTGCATCCCCCTGCACTCTGCATCCGTGACACCCTGGATCCCTCTGTGCCCTGCATCCCGCTGCGTTCTGCATCCCCCTTTGCTCTGCATCCCTCTGTGCCCTGCATGCCATGGTGCTCTGCATCCCTCTGTGCCCTGCATCCCGCTGCGCTCTGCATCCCTCTGCGCTCTGCATCCCTCTGTGTCCTGCATCCCACTGCACTCTGCATCCCACTGCGCTCTGCATCCCCCTGCACTCTGCATCCTGCAGTGCCCTGCATCCCTCCGTGCTCTGCATCCCGCTGTACTCTTCTCCCGCAGGCCAACGATGACCGGAGCCCGTCCACCCTCAACCACTACATCCACCTGCAGGAGCGGCCCATCAAGCAGACCATCAGCAGGTGAGGGGGGCCCCGGCGTCCCCGCCATGTCCCCACCGTGTCCCCGCTCCCCACGGCGCTCAGCGCCGCTCTCCGTCCCCCAGACAGGCCCTGAGCCTCCTCTTCGACACCTTCCACAACGAGGTGGACGCCTTCCTGGCGGCCGAGGTGAGCGCGGCCCACGGGCGCTCGGAGCCGGCGTCGGAGGCGCCTTTCGCACCGCTCCATCCCTCCGCCTGAATTCCAGGGCGACTTCCCGCTGAAGGCCGAGCGCGTCATCCAGTCGGTGATGGCGCTTTGCAACGCGCTGGCCGCCGTCGAGACCCCGGAGATCACGGCCGCCCTCAACCAGATGCCCCCCTGCCCTTCCCGCATGCAGCCCAAGAGCCAGAAGGTGAGCGGGGAGCCCGTGGGAGCAGCGCGGGCTCCTCGCCGCGATCCCGACGCTTCCCGTGCAGAATTCCTCAAGAGCCGGTGTCAACGCGGTGCCAGCAAGCGGGATGCTCCCCGTGGCCACTCACATCCAACTGCTGGTGGCCGCGCGGGCTCCTTCGGACGTTGCTTTGTTCCATTCTTCCTTTTTTGCTGTTTTCCCTGCACAGGATCCAAGTGTTCTGGCCAAGAGGGAAAACCGAGGTAATTCTATTCCCCTCTTTCCCTTCTGGGCCTAAGTTTGCGGCTTATTCTTTAATCCCCAACCCCGTCCTCCCACAAAACGCGCCTGAAACGGGTCTGCGTGAGGGCAGAGGCCGCCGCTCCCCTTGCAAACGCGGCCAAGCGGGAACACGGAGACACCCCTGGGGAATACGGGGTGCCCCCAGGGAATACGAGGGGTCCCCGGGGAGGGCGGTGGCGGCGCGGGGCCCCACGGCGTCCTGCCCGCAGAGCGCATCGTGGAGAGCCTCACGGCCGCAATCCTGGAGCTGGTGGAGCTCTACTGCAGCACCTTCAACGCGGACTTCCAGCGGGCCGTGCCGGGCGGCAGGCGGCAGAGCCCGCAGCGCGACGCCCGCCTGCTCGCCTGCCCGCTCGCCTTCACCGTCTACGGCACCCACCGCATCCCCATCACCTGGGCCGCCAGGTGAGGCCGAGCGCGCCGAGCCGCCCGGCGCTCCGGTGGCTTGAGGGGGACGGAGCGTCCCGGGGAGGGTGGTGGGGGAGCGGGAGGCTGAGATGCTGGGATGTCGGGATGTCAGGATGATGGGATGTCAGGATGCCGGGATGTTGGGATGCTGGGATGTCGGGATGTTGGGATGCTAGGATGCCAGGATATTGGGATGCCGGGATGCTAGGATGCCAGGATTTTGGGATGCTGGGATGTCAGGATGCTGGGATGTTGGGATGTCAGAATGCCAGGATGTTGGGATGCTGGGATGCTAGGAGGCCAGGATGTTGGGATGCTGGGATGCTTGGATGTCAGGATGCCTGGATGCTAGGATGCTGGGATGCTGGGATGTCAGGATGCTGGGATGTTGGGATGCTAGGATGCTGGGATGCCGAGATACTGGGATGTCAGGATGTTGGGATGCTGCGGTGCCAGGATGTCGGGAGGCCAGGATGCTGGGATACCGGGATGTTGGGATGCCAGGACATCCAGATGCCAGGATGCTGGGGTGCCAGGATGCTGGGATGTCGGGAGGCTGGGTATTGGGATGCCGGGATGCCGGGCTCTCAGGATACTGGGATATCGGCATGCCGGGACGCCGGCAGCGGGTGCCGCGGTGACAGATGGCGCCGTGCCTGCGGCAGCCGCGCTCCCGCTGCCCGCGCCGTCCCCGTGGGCGTCCCCGCGCGGCGACGAGCGCAGGGCGCGCGCGGCACCCGCCCCGCCGGGGACCCCTCGCCTTTGTCCCCTCCTTAATGCATTCCCGCCGGCGAGCGGCTCCGAACAAAGCGGGCGGCCTGGGAAACGGCGGCAGCCGCTGACCCCCACCGCCCTCCCGGGCCTGTCACCCGCGGGGCCCTCCCGCCGGATCCTCGTGCCGGGCCATTCCCGGCGGCATATGGCGATCCGCCCGGGAAAGCTCCCTGCTCCCTGCCACCCTTCACGCCGTCCCCTTGCAGCTACGAAGATTTCTACCTGTCCTGCTCGCTGAGCCACGGCGGCAAGGAGCTCTGCAGCGCCCTGCACACCAGGAAGGCCCCCGTGCACAAGTACCTCTTCCACCTCATCATATGGGACCAGCAGTAAGGAGCTGCCCCGGTGCTACCCGCAGCGGTGCCGCCTCCTTCTCTTCCTCCTCCTCCTCCTCCTCCTGCTCCTCTTCCTTCAGGTCCCCCATTTCAGAGCCATCCCCCATTTCGGAGCCTCCCGGAGCGCTTGTTGCCCCAGTGGCGCTTGGGCTGCCTGGGTGCAAGTGCCAGAGGCGCCGGCGTCATTCCCGGGAATAGTGCTGGCGCACGGCCCGCCCTGCCCAGGCGTTTGCACCCAGCTGCCCCGGGAGAAAGGGGATCCGCTCCCAAAATAGCGCCGGGAGCCGCCCGTGCCGTGCCCGGCATTCGCGCCGCGCGCGGGGACGGGATAATTTTAGCTGGCGCCTGCGCCCCGCCAAGGACACGGGCACCGTGGGCGGCCTCTCCGCGCACCCACCGGGCGGGATGCGGCTCTCGCCGGCGGCTCCCTGGGGGCCCAGGTGCCGTGGGGGCAGCGGCTGAGGCGCCCGCCGCTCCCCGCCAGGATCTGCTTCCCGGTGCATGTGAACCGGCTGCCGCGGGAGACGCTGCTGAGCATCACCCTCTTCGCGGTGCCCGTCGCGCCGCCCGGCAGCTCCTCGGACGCCAACAAGCAGCGGCGGCTGCCCGAGGCGCTCGGCTGGGTCACCACCCCGCTCTTCAACTTCAGGCAGTAGGTAGCGGGGTCGGGGCACTGGGGGACCCGCGTGGGCGCCGTGGGTGCATGGTGGCACGGGGAGCTGGGTGGGCACCGTGCATGTGTGGTGGCACTGGGGGGACCCCATGGGCACCGTGTGCGTGTGGTGGCACCGGGGGACCTGTGTGGGCACCATGTACATGTGGTGGCACTGGCGGGGCCGTGGTGGCAGCAGGGGGCCCACATGGGCACTGTGTGCATGTGGTGGCACCGGGGGGCCCCGTGCGTGTGTGGTGGCACCGGGGCGCCCCGTGGGCACCGTGCGCATGTTGTGGCACTGTGGGGCCCCGTGGGCACCGTGTGCACGTGGTGGCACAGGGGGGAGCCACACGGCACTGTGTGCATGTGGTGGCACCGGGGCGCCCCGTGGGCACCGTGCGCACGTTGTGGCACCGAGGCGCCCCGTGGGCACCGTGCCGCCCGGCGCCACGCGGCCCGTGCTCACTGCCGCAGGGTGCTCACGTGTGGGCGGAAGCTGCTGGGCTTGTGGCCGGCCACGCAGGACAACTCGCGAGCCCGCTCCAGCGCGCCCAACTTCAACCAGCCCGACAGCGTCATCCTGCAGGTGGCCGGCGCTGCGGCACGGGCGACCCGGGTGCCCCCTCGCCGTCCCCGCCTCACCCCACTGCCCCCCAGGTCGACTTCCCCGCGTCCGCCTTCGATGTGAAGTTCTCGAGCCCGCCGGCGGCCGCCTCCAGCCCCCGCTACGAGTTCGGCAGCCTGGGCGAGCAGGAGCAGCGCCAGCTGCGCGACGCCATGCAGAAGAAGTCGCTCTACTGGTGAGAAGCGGGCGGAGGGGCCTTTCCTGCGTCGCCCCATTTTTGGAGGGTTCTCCGTGGCCCGGGGAAGGGCAGCTGCCGTCCCCATGCAGAGCCCGGCGCGGCCGCGGCGCCCACCGGCCGTAAACAGGGAGGATCAGGTGGCAGCAGCTGCACCGGCCCTGCCGGGGCCGCGGGCGCAGAGCGAGGCCTCACGGGGCACCCGTGGTGCCGGGGTCCCGCTCCCTGCACCCCACGGTGCGTCAGGGTGCTGGGAGGCCATGGTCACCGAATTATTTGCACCAAATTATTTGCACTGAGTTATTTGCATCAAATTATTTGCAATGAATTATTTGCGCCCAATTATTTGCACCCAGTTATTTGCACCGAATTATTTGTGCCCGATTATTTGCACCCAATTATTTGCGCCGAGTTATTTGCGCCCTCCTCTTGCTGCGGCCCCGCTGAGCTGCGCGTGCCGCCCCTGTGCCCGTAGGCTGACGGAGGCCGATCGGAAGCGGCTCTGGGAGAAGCGCTGCTACTGCCACGCGGAGGCCAGCGCGCTGCCCATGCTGCTGGCCAGCGCGCCCAGCTGGGAGTGGGCCTGTCTGCCCGACATCTACGCCCTGCTCAAGCAGTGGAGCTACGTGAACCACCAGGACGCCCTGGGGCTGCTGCACGCCACGTAAGGGACGGTGCCGCTTGGGCTGCCCGAGAGGGGCCAGGGCGCCGAGGGACCCCAATGCCCCCGAGGGACCCCGTGCGGGGCTGCCGTGACGGTGCCGCGCGCTCCGGCCGCAGGTTCCCGGACCAGGAGGTGCGGAGGACGGCCGTGCAGTGGATCGACTCCATCTCGGACACGGAGCTGCTGGACTACCTGCCGCAGCTGGTGCAGGTGAGCGGCGGCGGCGGCGCCCGGGCGCGCGGTGCCGCCCTGCGCCGTGACCCGCGTGCCCCTTGCAGGCGCTCAAGTACGAGTGCTACCTGGACAGCCCGCTGGTGCGCTTCCTCCTCAAGAGAGCCATCTGCGACCTCAAGATCACCCACTACTTCTTCTGGTAAGGGAGGCGCCGGCGCTGGGGAGGCGAGCGGGTGCTCCGCGCGCCGCCGTGACCCCGGCGCTGCCTCGCAGGCTGCTCAAGGACGGCCTCAAGGACTCGCAGTTCAGCATCCGCTACCAGTACCTGCTGGCCGCGCTGCTCTGCTGCTGCGGCAAGGGGCTGCGCGAGGAGTTCGACCGCCAGTGCCTGCTGGTGGCCACGCTGGCCAAGCTGGCGCAGCAAGTGCGGGAGGCGGCGCCGTCGGCGCGCCAGGTGAGCGCCGCGGCTGGCGACGGGGCGGGCGCCGCCGCGTGCCCGTGTCACCTCGCGCTGCCCCGCAGGCCATCCTGCGCGAGGGCCTCGAGGACGTGGCGCAGTTCTTCAAGGCGCACGGCTCGTGCCGCCTGCCGCTCAGCCCCAGCCTGCTGGTGAAGGGCGTCGTGCCCAGGGTGAGTGGCCGCGCGGGGGTCTCCGCGGGTGCCCGCCGCGCTGCCCCGGCCCTCACGGGCTGCTCTCTCCCCGTGTTGGCCGCAGGACTGCTCCTATTTCAACTCCAACGCCGTGCCCTTGAAGCTCTCCTTCCAGAATGTCGATCCGCTCGGGGAAAACATCCGCGTCATCTTCAAGGTGAGGCCGCGACGATGCCCGGGTACCCATGGGGCCGTCCTGCTCCGCGGCGGCGCCTCCGCCGCTTCCCGGGCCTTTCCCGGCTCTCATCGCTGTCCCCCGTGCCCCGCAGTGCGGAGATGACCTGCGCCAGGACATGCTGACGCTGCAGATGATCCGGATCATGAACAAGATCTGGGTGCAGGAGGGGCTCGACATGCGCATGGTCATTTTCCGCTGCTTCTCCACAGGCCGCGGCCGAGGTACCCTCCATTCCTTGGCATCCCCGATGGCCACCAGGGCCACAGGACTGTGGGGGACAGCCTAGGAGAGCCTGGGTCCACCTCGGGGTGGACCTCACCCATAGGATCGGGTCTCCGTAGGCTGCCCGTGCATGGGGTGGTGGTGAAGGGGCTGGGGGCTCGGTGCCGGCAGGACGGCGCTCACCCTGCTCTCGCGGCTGCCAGGCATGGTGGAGATGATCCCCAACGCCGAGACCCTGCGCAAGATCCAGGTGGAACACGGCGTGACGGGCTCCTTCAAGGACCGCCCGCTGGCCGACTGGCTGCAGAAGCACAACCCTGGGGAGGATGAGTACGAGAAGGTGAGGAAGACCGTGGCGGGGTCCCCACTGCTCCCAGCCCAGCACGAGTCCCATCCCTTCCCAACACGGTGGGACCAACATGGTCCTGTGCCCACCATGGGGCTACCCAGCGCCACCATGGGGCTGCCCATCCTTCCTCGTCGCCCCGGCCGCTCCATCCCGTCCCGTCCTTTCCCAGGCTGTGGAGAACTTCATCTACTCGTGCGCGGGCTGCTGCGTGGCTACCTACGTGCTGGGCATCTGTGACCGACACAACGACAACATCATGCTCAAAACCACCGGCCACATGTTTCACATCGACTTCGGCCGCTTCCTGGGCCACGCGCAGATGTTTGGCAACATCAAGAGGTGGGACATGGCAGCTCCTTCTCCCCTGGGTTTAATATGCCAACGTGCCCGGTGCTGCCACGCTAACACGGCACGTTGTGCGCAGGGACCGGGCGCCCTTCGTCTTCACTTCGGACATGGCGTATGTCATCAATGGCGGGGACAAGCCCTCGAGCCGCTTCCACGACTTCGTGGACCTGTGCTGCCAGGCCTACAACCTCATCCGCAAGCACACCCACCTCTTCCTCAACCTGCTGGGGCTGGTGAGAGCGCGGCGGGCACCGCGTGGGGACGGGGCCGCCACGGCGGGCGCTTCTCCGGCCATGCAACGCGTCGCCGGGTCGCTCTGCCTCCCAGATGCTCTCCTGCGGCATCCCGGAGCTCTCCGACCTGGAGGACCTCAAGTACGTCTACGATGCGCTGAGGCCGCAGGACTCGGAGGCCGACGCCACCACGTACTTCACCAGGTGGAGAGGGTGGAAGGGCCGGCGGGAGCGGGGAGCGGAGCCCGCGGGCGGGCGCTGCTGAGCGCCCGGCGCCTCGCCCGCAGGTTGATCGAGTCCAGCCTGGGCAGCGTGGCCACCAAGCTCAACTTCTTCATCCACAACCTGGCGCAGATGAAGTTCGCGGGCTCCGAGGCGCGGCCCACGCTCTCCTTCGCGCCCCGCACGCACAGCCTGCAGACGGCCGGCCGCATCCGCGACGTCTTCCTGTGCCGCCACGAGCGGGTCTTCAACCCCAGCAAGGGCTACGTGAGTGGGGAGGCTCGAGGGCCGGGGAGGCCCTTGACACGGGCCCGGGGCACGGATAGAGAGCGGCTCTGCTGTAATTAGAGTCCACCGCGCGCTTGGGGAGGTCTTGATATAATCCCCACCGCGCTATTCGTGCCGTTCCTCGCGTGCGAGCCGGCCCCAGCGTGGGCTGCAGCGGGGAGGCCCGGCCTCGCGCGCGGTGCGGAGGCCGCCTCGCCAGCGCCGCTCCCCGCGCAGACCTACGTGGTGAAGGTGCAGCGGGAGGGCGCCGCGGAGGCGGCCGTGGTGCAGCGCACCTTCGAGGAGTTCCAGGAGCTGCACAACAAGCTGCGCCTCGTCTTCCCCTCCTCGCTGC